CGATGGACCTATTAATATACCAAAATATCCGTGAGACTGGAAGCCTATTTTTAACAACTCTGGTACCACATAATATATCAGCAGCTTTTTAACAAGATACTGATACTGAGCAATGGATTTCTGTTTTTATAACAGTGAAACCATTTGCACAGTATACTGTAGCCTTAGCCTATGTAGATTAATGGAAAAAGAGGCAGTGTTATGTGCCATTAAATGATTTTACCTTTATGATAAGCAAAATATCAAACTGTGGGCCTCAACAATGCACTTTACTAACTTTTCTTTCTAATGTAATGAATGAACTGGATGTAATATGAACTGCAGTTTGTTCAGCGCAGTACTTAAAGGTGCAATAGGAGATCTTGGAAAATGCTAACGTTAGCCTGATAGCACTGAAAGCCTACGGTATGTTGCAACCTGCAAATTGCCATCACAAAGCCTACGGATCACTAGATAGTGTCACTACAATACATCACATGACATTCATCAGAGAGAAAACTTTATAGTACAGTTTGTCATTACAATAACAAACTTAAAAAAGAAGGTGTGTTGTTGATGTTGACCTGCCATTCTCTATCTGAACCAGATCTGTGAACGTGCCGTAATCATTTCTGTGTGAACATGGTGCTCAATTACATGTTTTGACAGGCAGGTAGGACAGGATATCATATTGTTCGGACCGAACGTTTTGATTGGGCAAACCTTTCATGGTCCTACACCTTCTACAGAATATTAAAACAATTAGGAATATCGAGACTTTCAACCATCCCTAGTAGCAAAGAATTCTGGCCCAGATTTGGCATTAAGCTGGGACAGCAGGCATTCATCCGGCACTGGCATACAGTATGTGGGCCAACCATGGCCTGGGTTTGGCAGTGGTGGCACCGTCTATAATGCGGCACACAAGATTTGGGCCAGATGTAAAACTTAGTATTTGGCCCAGATTTAAAAAATTGATTGTGGGCCACGTGAGTTTGGCCAGTCTTGACCCACATTTAAAATACATTAAAATAATTTTTGAATAAATAAATCAATTCTACCAATCAGGTCACTGAGAAAATATAAGGCCCATAGTGTGCCTAAAGCGCAATGCTTCATGGGTTTATCAATTTCATTGCAATCGTGACACACCAACCTTACTGGCCCAGTTCAGGCCCAGTTATGAGTTATTAACTTGGCTGAGACTTGGCCCAGATATGGTCTGTGTTTGGCCCTTGTCTGGAAGCCAGATTTGGTCCAGTCATGTACCGTAATTCACTGCGGCATGTGGGCCAAGCAAAACCTGATTGTGTGGGCCAGAGCTGGGCCAGAGAAATTTTGCTATGTGGGCAGCATAACAAAAAAAGAGTTTCAGATGACCAATGTTGGGCAGTAGCGTTGCTACAAGTATTGACGCTAGTAGCTAAACTACATTTCTCAGTAGCGTGTTGGTAGCATCACTATTTTCTAATAGTGATGCTTCTAGGTTTTCAGAAGCAAAGCTATTTTTAAAGCAAGTATTGCAGAAGCGTCTATACAAGCTACATTCACCGATCGCAAATCAGTACAGTAAGTGACACCACTGCTATTCACAGAGCTGTGAGGCCGGCATCAGGCCAATGAAAGTAAATTCATATTAGAGAGAGCGAGAATGGTAATTTCTTCTTACTCATATTTAACAGGGGTTGACAACAAGCATTTTGGTGAGTTACTGTCTCCTTGCTATGGTTGGCGATGTAGCTAACCAATCAATGAGCTGACACAAGAAACTTGCTTGATGGAAAGATGACTGCGGGAAAGGAATTATTTTTGAAACAGAAGTCCTTGTGACCATACCTCGAGAAGTGGACAGTGAATAGTTTACTGTAGTAAAAGCTAGAGAATACCACAGTATTTACTTTTAGTTCATGATGGTTACCAATAATACTACATTATGTTGTATAATTCATTAACAGAGTTGTAAATATAACCAGACAGAACTGTTGTAGAAATATATATATATATATATATATATATATATATATATATATATATATATATATATATATATTATATTAGCCCCATTTTGAATTTTTTTTCTTTTGTAAATATTTCCCAAATGATGTTTAACAGAGCAAGGGCATTTCCACAGTATTTCTTCTGGAGAAAGTCTTATTTGTTTTATTTCGGCTAGAATAAAAGCAGTTTAAATTTTTTTTAAACACCATTTTAGGGTAAAAATTATTAGCCCCTTTAAGCTATTTTTTCGATAGTCTACAAAATAAACCATTGTTTTACAAAAACTTGCTTGATTGCCCTAACCTGCCTAGTTAACCTAATTAACTCAGTTAAGCCTATAAATGTCACTTTAAGCTGTATAGAAGTGACTTGAAAAATATCTAGTAAAATATTATTTACTGTCATCATGGCAAAGATCAAATAAATCAGTTATCAGAAATGAATTTTTAAAATGATTATGTTTAGAAATGTGTTGAGAAAATCTTCTCTCCGTTAAACAGAAATTGGGGGAAAAATAAACAGGGGGGCTAATAATGCAGGGGAGCTAATAATTCTGACTTCAACTATATATACAACAGTTCTGTCTGGTTCTCAGATCTGATTGACTGATAGCAGTGCGATATTCTGCAATAACAGCACTCGTACAGCCTCTTCCCTATTGTGTATTACTCCGCCCACATAGAGTGACAGCAGATCAATAAACTCACTACAGTTTGGCGAATATTGCAGCTGTTGGACAACATAATGTACTTTTTTTTTAGATTGCAACTATGCAGTTCATTTAAAAGGACAGTGCTTATTTAAAATATTTATAATTCCTGAGATTCAGCATGTTGGCGGCCATTAGTCATTAACAGAGCAAAGAGGGTTGACGTTCCGCCATTAGATGGCGCATAATATGTCCTTAGGGGAGGAAAAACTCAAAAACTTCAAATTACAGCTGATTAAAAATACAAATTTACAACAAAAAAAAAAATTCAAATTACAGCTGATCAAATCATTATAATAAAGATGAATGACATTCTAAGTTGATCTCTCTCTTGTAAATGTTGCAGTGCTGTATTTTTTACCATAGTAATCTAGTAGTGTTTACTTCCGGGGTTAATTATTGTGATCTCCCGATGGCAAAAGAGAAATACTAGGAAATCTCTGTAGACTGATGGCATTTCATGCTGTTCAGCCTTATAATCTTAAAATGAGAGCAAAATCACCGGTTTTGTCATCACATTAGACATTAGGCTAGAGAATCATTCAAATACTAGCTCAACTAAACTGAACAATTATGTGTCATGTTTTATTGACAGTTTTAGTGATTACTGAGATAGAACTGATTTAGATTGAAGATGGTTTGATTTATAAAGAAAATAAAAATAGCTTATATGTGGCTAAGCTACGTTTGCCATGTAGCTTGTAGTTTAGATTGCTACATTTCCCAAGGGGTAGCTTTAAGTGTAGTTTTAAGCAGAGTAATTAATAGCTACATTTTTCAAGTTATTGCACCACTTTAAAGCTCACAGTATCAAATAATACAAAAAAGTTCCAATATATGATCATGAAAAATATCATACATCTGAGATTTTAACTGTATAACATGTTTTGTGCACACAATGAAAAACTTAAGACATTTGATCATACAACTAAGCAATTAAATAAGACAAATTTGACAAGTGATATTTATATGCATACTTATGTGCTTGTATTTATGCACATTGTATGATTGTAATTTGCTATAATAGTATAAAGGTCTCTCATTTACATTATACAATCAGAATTTGAGGTTATTTTTAGTCAACTATAAAATGCAAAAAAAAAAAAATAATATTAAAATTTTAATAATAATAAAATGTATATTAATATTTGATAATAAAATTTATACAACTATAAAAATGCAGCAAATATCTGATTCTATTTATAAAAGCCTAAGGTATCACATATGATACTCAACAAATACACAAATGCAAATATAACATGAATTTCTTTTTTTTAATCGATAAGATGACATTTATATATCTGCAATTACCAAGCTGGCATCATAGTTTAATTAAATTAAATTTATAATATATTTTTTTGAATAGTTTGGAATATACAGTACATTCTGTGCAATACTCAGTAAACCATAAGCATTCAATTCCAAATATAGTCAGACCATATACTGTATCCCACACAGCCATGTATTCTATGCATGGTGACGATGATGAAGGCAAGCTTTCCTCCAGCGAGAGCGGATGGGCCTGTGCTGCGGTCTGCTGGGTGGGGGAGGGTCAACTTCCACCAAAGGGAAATTTGAGGCATTGGGGGAGGGGTCCTGCTGCATCACCAGCTATCCTGATTGGTTACATATCTAGAGCATCAGCAAACCTCCTCAACCATACTTGCTGCTGACATCTCTCTCTCTTTTTTCCCCAGTAGACAAAAACATTTCTCCAATAAACCACAACAGCTTAATTGACTAGGTTTAAAGCATTTCTACTACATGATAAATAACTAAAATTAATGTTGATCTTTTTGGAAGATAATTCATGTCAAACAAGGCACAGCTCTGTTCCTGAGATTTAAATGAGATTTATAGGTTCAAAATGTGAATATTTTCAAGGGATCAGACACTATGGATCTTACAGAGAGGAAATGGATGCATTTCAGACAGAGAATGGCAGGCTGACATCAACAATCTACCTTCTTTTTAGTGTTTGGTATCATAATAACTAACTGTACCATAAAGTTTTTTCTCTGGTGAATGTTTCACGATGTATTGTAGAGATGTTTTCTAGTGTGCGTACCTATGTTAAAAAATTGTAGCTTTGAATTTGCAGGGTGCAGCACAGACTCTCAGTGCTATCAGGCTAACGTTAGCATTTTCAAAGACCTCCTTTAGTGATACAACCTTCTAAAACCTAATTGGAAATATTAACCTACACATTTATCTACTAAATTAATGTCTACCAAAACAAGCACATAAATGCCACATTTATGTATATCAGGCACCAATCAAAAGCTCTTAATGCTTTTGGGAAACGATATCTTACCCAGATTTGCAGCTTTATCCTCTTGTCGTTCCTGTAGATGGTCTTCACCTTGAAGTCGATGCCGACCGTGCTTACGAACGCTGGCGTGAAGGAGTCGTCTGCATAACGAAACAGAAAGCTGGTCTTCCCAACGCTGCTATTCCCGATGATTAGGATTTTGAACATGTAATCAAAGTTCTGGTCAGAAGACTCCTTTTGTCCATAACGGTTGTCTGTAGCTGAAGCCATCTGGAAGATTAAGGGGAAACAAGACATTTGTACTTGTTTGTTTAATATCTTGTGTCATTTAAGTTATGGTACATTTACTTAATAGAAATTCTCGCATGTCAAATTAGCACAAAAGCTACTAAATTTGAAAAAAGCTAGTTGATACTTTTTGCTGAACAATTAATGATTCAATCCAAAATCCCAGTTATTCATTCATTCATTTTGCGTAGGCTTAGTCCCTTTATTCATTAGTGGTCGCCACAGCGGAATGAATGGCCAACTTACCCAGCATATATTTTACACAGTGGATGGCCTTCTGTACTGGGAAAAAATCTATGCACACACATACACTATGGCCAATTTAGTTTACCCAATTCCCCTTTAACACATGTCTTTAGACTGTGGGGGAAACCGTAGCACCCGGAGGAAACCCACGCCAACACGGGGAGAACAAGCAAACTCCACACAGAAATGCCAACTGACCCAGTTGGGACTCGAATCAGCGACCTTCTTGCTGTGGGGCAACAGTACGAACAACTGAGCCACCGTGTCGCCCCTAACACTAACATATTTTTATAAAACAAAGTAATGGGGTTTGATATCCATTTTCAAGTGTTTGGTGGGTGTGTCAAAAATGTCAGCTGCAATATTTACACTCACCGGCCACTTTATTAGGTACACCTGTCCAACTACTCGTTAACGCAAATTTCTAATCAGCTAATCACATGGGATTTTTACGCACAACCATCTCTAGGGTTTACAGAGAATGGTCTGAAAAAGAGAAAATATCCAGTGAGCGGCAGTTCTGTGGGCGCAAATGCCTTGTTGATGCCATAGGTCAGAGGAGAATGGCCAGACTGGTTCGAGCTGATAGAAAGGCAACAGTAACTCAAATAACCACTCTAAAACCGAGGTCTGCAGAAGAGCATCTCTGAATGCACAACATGTCCAACCTTGAGGCAGATGGGCTACAGCAGCAGAAGACCACACCGGGTGTCACTCCTGTCAGCTAACAACAGGAAACTGAGGCTACAATTCACACAGGCTCATCAAAGTTGGACAATAGAAGATTAGAAAAATGTTGCCTGGTCTGATGAGTCTCAATTTCTGCTGCGACATTCGGATGGTGGGGACAGAATTTGGCATCAACAACATGAAAGCATGGATCCATCCTGCCTTGTATCAATGGTTTAGGCTGCTGGTGGTGTAATGGTGTGGGAGATATTTTCTTGGCACACTTTGGGCCCATGAGAACCAATTGAGCAACGTGTCAACGCCACAGCATACCTGAGTATTGCTGACCATGTGCATCCCTTTATGACCACAGTGAACCCATCTTCTGATGGCTACTTCCAACAGGATAACGCACCATGTCATAAAGCGTGAATCATCTCAGACTGGTTTCTTGAAAAGGGCAATGAGTTCACTGTACTTAAAAGGCCTCTACAGTCACCAGGTCTCAATCCAATAGAGCACCTTGGGATGTGGTGGAATGGGAGATTCGCATCATAGATGTGCAGCCGACAAATCTAAAGCAACTGCGTGATGCTATCATGTCAATATGGACCAAAATCTCTGAGGAATGTTTCCAGTACCTTGTTGAATCTACGCCATGAAGAACTAAGGCAGACTAAGGCAAAAGGGGATCCAACCTGGCAGTTGTAAGGTGAACCTAATGAAGTGGCGGGTGAGTGTACAGTATGTCCACGTAAAGTCTGTTCTCTTTTATTCTGTAACATTGAATGTATTTTAAATATTAAGCAACACATATTTTTACTGATTTCATCAGGCTCTGAAAAAAAAAAGAGCACAGAATGGCGTTCTCAGCTGCCATAACTGCAACTGTATCATTAAAACAGCATTCAATGCACTACTGTTAAAAATGCTGAAAATGAAAAAAAACAGGGCTGAATGCACCTGTGGTGTCAGATTACATATTTAAATAATTTAATCACAGCTTTTGTGAGGTGATAATCATGCTAAGCCATATCACATCCCCACAATTCAATTAGAATTCACAACAAAGTTACTGACTAGTTCGAAAGCAACAGTTACATAATCACGCCAACACAGACTTTTACTCACATTTGGCACTTAGTAAGTGTTAATATTGGGCCCTGCTTGTATGGTTTGCAAAGAAGGCAATTCATATACTGCAATGAGAAATGAAATAAAGAAAAACAAAGAAAAATGCTGATAATGTCTTATGAAGAAAATTAGTTCCTGACTTTAAAGAGATCACCCAAAACACTCACTCACTCTTTACTTGTTCCAAACTTGTTTGCCTTTTTTCTTCTTCTGATGAACACAGACAAATATAATTTGAAGGAAGCTGAAAACCAGTAACCATTGACTTCCATTGTATTGGTTTTCCAACTATGGAAGTCAAAAGTTACCCATTTTGAGCTTTTTAAAAAAATATTTTATTTAGTGTTCAACAGAATAAAGAAAATCATGTTTTATCCAGCTCCGATCCAAATCGAGCCCGATCATGCGGTTTCAGACTCGATTGGAATCAGACTTTACCTCCCTTTCAGGACATATAAATACATACAACAGTTCTGTCTGGTTCTCAAATCTGATTGGCTGGTAGCTGTGTGATATTCTGCAATAACAGCACTGGACCAGCCTCCTCACCCTTCACCCTTGTGTATTACTCCGCCCACAAACAGCGACCAGCAGACACAAGCAGAGATTCTCCAAAGTTTGACAAATATTACTGCTTTTGGACAATATAATGAACTTTTGAGAATTTTTTAGTGGAGTATGTAGTTGTTTAGATTGCAATTATGCAGTTTATTTATAGGGATAGTGCCTATTCCAATATATTTATCATTTCTGAGAGACAGCGCGTCGGCGGCCATTAGCCAAAGACGGCTGACTTTATCTATCCACAAGATGGCGACAGGACTGGTAAGTGACTTTCTAAGTTGATCTCTCTCTTTTGCATCTTGTAGTGCTGTATTTAAACCATATAATTGCAAACACAACAGCAGTCTGGTAGTGATTGTACTGCTTTTTTCAGGGTTAATTATTGTGATATCCCGATTGCAACAGAGAAATACTTTAGACTTTAATACTGCAAGGAAATATCTCATTGCATGGCATTTCATGTCACATTCAACCTTATAATCTTAAAATCTAAACAAAATCACCAGTTTTACGCTAGAGAATCATTTAAACACTAGCTGTAAAGTGACGTTGGTGAATAAGTAACGGTTTCTGCAGATGTGAATGAATGATGGAAGAAAGTAGTTCCTCTTACAAAAGGTTTTTTGAGACTGCGTGTTTGATTTTTCTTTTTCATACACATGATTGTGCCATCGAACTGTTGTATTAATGCAATATCACACTCGTAGCTGTGCGATATGCTGTATATCACCACTGGTGGGTCGTTAGGTCACCTGCAGCCTCGTGCCAACGCACACCTCCCACCAGTGCTGATATACAGCCATATCGCACTGCTTCTCCGGTGATATTGCTCATATATATATATATATATATATATATATATATATATATATATATATATATATATATATATATATACTCAATATTTTTTAACACATCTATAGTTATACGGCGGCACTGAGTTGGACCTCTTTCTTGACTTAACACAGAAATAGCAACGCGTGACATCACTTTGTTGCAGGGACGCTATTGGTTAAATGCCAGCAAAGTAGAACATGGAAGCAGCTTGAAGCAGCAAGCGCGAGTATGTCTGCGGTCTGGAGGTATTATAAAGCTGATGACAACAACATTGCCATGGCAAACTGTGAGATATGTAAACTTGGGACTGCAAAAGGTGGAAAGGAAAAGGCTACATTTAACACTACAAACCTGATAAGGCACCTCAAAAACAAACACCCGACACAAAGCAGCGAGTTTACCCAGGCAACCAAACCGAAGTTAAGTCAGCTCACGCCGCGTTGAGAGTTTGAAGAGGAGAGAAAAAATGCCCCATGACAGCGTGAAGGTACAAGACATCACTGTCAATGTAGCATAAATAATTGCAATGAGTGACCTGGCATTCGTCTTTTTAGAGAACCTTGGACTTCTTATGCTTATGGAGCATGTAAAACCTCAATTAGAAATTTTTATTGAATGTATTATAGAAAGATTAGATTGGGATTCTCAAAATCGAGGGCAAAATAAACTGATCGGTACATCGCTATTTTATAAACACTGTGAGTAAAGAGTTAGTAAATTGCAATTTTTGAATAAACAATATCTTTAAGTCATCACCAAATGATTTTTTGTGGACTTTTTTCCACAGGTATACTGCGTCACAACTTCTCCCATTGATCATAATATTTGATCAATGTGTGTTTTGAATTAGCAGCACTATTTTTATGACACCTATATTTGCTGCTTACATAGTGAGCAGGCGGCATGCAGCTGGATATTGGAACGGGGCCATTTCGATTTACTGCTTTTAGAGGCTTGCTTTAGATGGCAGAACGAGCAAAAGCTGACTGTTTATGTGGATCGACTATGGCTGAGTGAATTCTCATCCTTTCTACTGTCCGTCACTCATTCTTTGAGACCTGTGACCAAACAGCAGCGGTAGAGTCACCAGCTACCGAAAATCATTCAGGCAAGAATCCCGGAACAAAAATAAAATGTCTGAGCGCCTGCCAGGCCTTGGCATTAATCTGACATTTTCTTTTTTGTGTCAGATCGATAGTTGGCACAGGCCCTTCTGAATATAAAGCACTGGCTTTGTAACACCTCTATCACAAAATGACAATGGCAACTCGTTCTTTTGTCCATCTGAAGTTCACATGAGCAGGCAGTAGTGCAGTAGTGCCTGTTTGATTTGAAAGTAATGAAATAACTGGTAATATATTAATGAGAAATGTAGTGTTGTTAAAAAAAAAAAATTATTTATATATATATATATATATATATATATATATATATATATATATATATATATATATATATATATATATATATATATATATATATATATCAATACTGAAATATTTAAATTGATATTTATCATTATCGATAAATAC